ACAAGAAAATGTGATTTTTATCAGCTTTGTTCTACAAAGAATGAGAAACAAATGAAAGCACGTTGAATTTCAAATTCAAAGGCCAAAGAAGCAATATGTGAAAATAGAGACAAGAAGACATTTGTAGACTGCAGCTTTTAGGTATATGATTGTAGCAGGAGATCTGAAAATGTCCAAATTAGTGATATCTTAAAACTTACTTCAAAACAATGAAGGAATCTACATATCACAAGAAGATTAGCGCTTTCTAAAGTGAATTCTCCTCATAATATGACTATGTGTGTACTGGGTCTAGGTTATATTGCTGAGGTGAAGAAAACATTTGTATACAAGCTACAGTTCTTCATCCAGATTCCAAAGATTTTTTTAAAAAGTTGTTCCAATATTATACTTTTTTCCCCTTCAAGTATCTGAAATTTTGATGTACAGAAGCTGAAAACAAACAAATATTCGATTAAGAAAACACAGACTATAGAGGCCCAACAGATCCAAGCAAGAATGGCCTGAATCCTGGCCTCTGTAGAGGTGAATGCTAGGATACTCAGTGACATACCCACAAGAGCATCATATTGCTGCCATACATGGCATATTATTTCACAACAAGGTTTTCTGTTGGTGAGTGATTCCCAATCAAGGTGTTGTTTTCTTTAGAAATGGTGTGTCAGATACCTAATTGTACAGGGCAATACTGAGTTACAATGGTGCTGTTAGATTTTTTCCATTATAGAGGACTGGAAATTTCTTTGTATGATAGTAGTAGCTCAAACTAATTCAATATATTGAAAGAGATCCTACAGTTTTCTAGCTGTGTGACTCTGTGACGACTATAATAAGATATTAAATAGTGCTATCTACCACAAAAGACTCAGATGCCAATTTCATAAATGCATGGAGAGTGCTTGGAACTATGTGTGATGTATTTAATAATAATGTGTGAGGTATTTAATAATGTGTGAGGTATTTAATAAATTTCTGCTATTACCACTTACAATTAACCACAGTTGCCAAAGGATGAGCTGGGAAGCAGAGCAAAGCACCATCCTTTCTTTTAATTTTGAAAACTTTCTGGGATCTGTCTTGGATTGGGATCTTTGCATATGTGCTTCTGTCTATCACACGCTTTCTCCTCCTTTTCCCTTGCCAGTTCCTTCCAAAATTGAATTTCAACTGCTTATTTATCCATTGGGAGTTTCAATGTGACTTCTCCTTCTACTCTTAATCCTCAGGGTAATTCAGTTTCATCTATAAAGTAGAGTATCACACCATTTACTTTTTTCCATATATTTGAATCACAAGCTGTTCATATATAATTTCCCACAGGAATCCATTAACTCATGCCTGTAATCCTAGCCTCTCAGTCAGGAGGCTGAGATCTGAGGATCATGGTTCAAAGCCAGCCCAGGCAAGAAAGTCCTTGAGACTCTTATCTCTAATAAACCACCAGAAAAACAGAAGTGGCACTGTGGCTCAAGTGGTAGAGTGTTCACCTTCTTCTAAAGAGCTGAGGGACAGCGCCCAGGCCCAGAGTTCAAGCCCCATGATGAACAAAAAATAAAAATAAATAAATCTTCTAAACTCCATAAGAGGAAATGTCATGTCTCCTTCATTCATCAAATATAGCTACATTCAATAAATGTTTGTTAAATAAAGTAATGAGTGGATTAATTTAAATAAATGGGTAAATCGGTAATGTTCATGAAAAATAGAACTGGTTACAATTAGCTGGATGATACTCAATAATATTTCACTTTTTTCAAAGGACTTATCATAAAAGTATGGAATAAGAACCATAAGTGAATTATTCTTTGTGTTCTCTTTACATGACAGTGACTTTGGAAGACATACCATTGATCACAATATACTTAGAATTTCCTTTGAGTTCTAAAAGAGAAAACAAAAAGGGCTATCCATAACATTAATCAATCTGAATCTCTCCATAAATAATAAGTGAAATAGTAGTAAATTATACTAAGCTTAAAGTTCACATAATCTGGGAAATACTTCCTCCAAGTTTGATATCCTAATTGTCAATACCTGATAACCAACATATTCAGAAATGGGTTTAAAAAAGAAACTAAGCTCTATGAAAACAAGGAGACATTTTTATCCTTTTAGGAAATTACAAAATCATTTTAGAAACTAACAGTATTTTATTCTTAAGTTAAAATAACCAGGCTGGGAAGATGGCTCAGTGGTAGAGCGCTTGCCTTGCTTGCCTGATGCCCTAGGTTCGATTCCTCAGCACCACATAAGCAAAATGAAAAAAGCCAGAAGTGGCGCTGTGGCTCAAGTGGTAGAGCACTAGTCTTGAGCTGAAGAGCTGAGGGACAGTGCCCAGGCCCAGAGTTCAGGCCCCACGACCGGACCCCCCCCAAAAAAAATAACCTACTTCCAAAATCTAAGTATAGAGCAAGTTTGATAATTATTCTTACATTTAGCTATAAGACCTATTGATATAAGTAGTTGTCTTTAGGTGTAGTTACACATCAACATTCTTTATGGAATTTTAAAGGGTGAAGCTGATCAAGCCCAAAGTTGAAATACATTGCTCCAAATGGTATGAAATATGTTTGAAATAGCAGAGCTTTTCTTAAAGCCTTATGGCTGGTTCTGACATAAATTTAAAGTTAAATGCTACTTGTTTAATAGACAAATATAAAATTCTTCATGATTAAGAAAATAACTGAATATTCCCCATAAAATTACCTTAAGCAGTTAAGCAAGATTGAGAAATTACATAGGTAATATTATGCAACTGATTTGTTTTCACTAAAAGATTGCAATAACTGGCATACTTAAAAAATATTTTAGTATAGTCATTTAAAGGTAGGTTATTTCCCCCAATTGCTCATTTAATTAAATACCATTTATTACATTTAATTTGATAAACCTTCATTGAATGTTTGCTGTGCTCAAGGTTTGTTGTTTTGTTGTTGCTTTTTTCCTGCAACCTTGAGAAACTTAAAAGTTTAAGATTAGATTATTGGCCTTGTATAGTTCAGGTCAAGTGGAGATAGAGACACACACACAATTTTTCACAAATTAAAAAGAAGCACTTGGTAGGTGCCATGGTGAAATATTGTTGTAGATGAAATATACAACCTCCTACCCTTAACACATGCAACGAAGAGATGAAAGCATTTCATGGAGTGGACTGTATGTAGGATGAGTCTGAAATGATGAATTGCGTTTATCCAAGAGAACATAAAGAACTGAGTAGATTTTGAAGGCCTAAAATAATTGGTAGATTTGAGGGTGGTTGTTTCATCGAATTTAGAAAGAGCTATAGGGGTGGGACTGCTGAGGTTAGATTTCTTCTGCATAGCATTCCTTACTCGGCAAAAGTTTCGGGGCATATGTGGTGTAAAAAACAGAAGACTTCATCAAATTCTTTCCCTCCAAGGATCTTCAGGGTGTTCAGAAAAATAAGGCACCCAAGAAATAACTGAAGAATAACACAATATCTATTCTGAGCTACAAATAGTACTGACAAATACTATAATACCATAAATGGAGAGGAACATAGTACAGGGAGAGAAGAGAGTTTACGCAATGGCAGTAGCAGGCTACTGGGTTTCTAAGTTCAGTTAAAGCACAGAGGGGAAATTAGAATAAACAACAGAAGAAGTTAAGATAGTGGAAGGCCTTGAATATTAAGACTAGATTTTTTTAGCTTGAAATGTTCAATAAGGATTCACTAAAATATTGTCTAAGCAAGTCAGCAGGGAAGTAGAATTCTATTTTTCTGTGAGGATGGGAAGTACTGGAAAGGAGTGAGGATATAGACAGGGAGACGGGATGGTTACAATCACTGCAATAATTATAGTATGATATAATGTGATCACTGACATACTGGTTGGTAAAACAGAAGATGTATTACTGTCTTGTGAGCATACTGTGACTAAAGAATATGGCTGCATTGTTGCTATGGGAATTGGTTTGTACAGAGAGATCTAAAATTACATTTAAAGAGGACTCAAAGTTTGTCTACAGATAAAACAAGTGTCCTGAGGTCTTTTGCAAGGCAGAAATTAAAATCTTGACTACTTTCAACAGTCCTCATAATTGCCTTCTTTGATTCACTATCAAAAATCTTTGAATCTATCTATTTTCTTTGGACATTTCTAGTTTTGACAACGCTTTTGTTACTAAAAGTATAATATTATAAATTCCTTCTGGCTTGATTTGTCACTGTAAATCAAACATAGAAATTATAGAAATGTTAAATATTTGTATTGATTCATTGGATGTTCATTTGACTCCTGGAGTGGTCGAAGAATGAGCTTTGATAAACTTCTGCAAGTACTGAACCAATGTATGAGTTCCTTGCTTATTCTAAAATTAAGATTTCTTTTTACAAACAACATAAGTGACTATTACTTTGAAATTTAATTAAAGTATACAATTACAACAGGGGTAAAACTATCTAGGGTATCAATAATGACTTAATTCTTTTAGAATGGATGTATTTCTGCCTTCAAAAAGCACTTGTTATCTGATTTTATAAGGGAGACTATTGAAGTATAAATTATTCTCAATAAAAACAATGAAACTGAAAGAAAAGACAAAATCAATATTCAAAAATAAATGTTATAACCCCTGAAATGTATTTTCAAGAAAGGAAGAGAAATATAGCTCACAATTGTCCCTTCATTGAACTATATCTATACATCTACATGTTTCTGTATATTTCAAATCTTGATATTTCCATTCCTTTGACAATGACTAATTCTGTAGAACTGTAAAGATTCCAGTAGTATCTGAAACTATTATTTATCAATATATACATCTTAAACATTAATATATAATTTACACCATTCAAGATTAATAAAATAAAATCTTGACTAAATTACCATTGATGAGTCTGTGATGCAGTAATTACTAAATAATGCAAAATGTATCGTGGTCCATTCATTACTATTCCAATTATAATGTCCTTTTTTTTCTATTTGGATGAGAATCTACATTTGTCTGAAAATAATGGGAAAACAAATACTTACCAAAATGGTGGTAACAATCAAAGAACGATTAGATAAGGAGTCTGTGATGTTAGCTGGTTTCCCCTTTTGACTTTCAGTCATATTTAGGCCACTGGCTGGATCCCAAGTTCCAATCTATAAAATAGCATATGTACCTTGTAAATTGTCCATCAGGCATTGCGAGCAAATACTACAGGAGAAAGTTAAGACTGCCAGCACTCATTATTCACCTCTGCTGCATTTATCTGCTGTCATTAAAGGCTGCTTGTTTTAAGCATGATTCACTGCTCTGTGAAGTGTGTCCAGTGAAGTGTGACATCGAAGAACACAATGAGCCATGCTACTGAGACAGTCAAGAGTGGGAGTTTAATTTTCCATTCAAACTTCCATTCACTAAGATAAACCACATCCAACGATACTTTGATACTGGCCAGAAACTCATGAAAAAGGTCTATCTTTTAGTATAATGGATCTATCATATACCCTCATTATGAAGAAAGAAAGCCAACCTAAAAGACAGACAAAACCCTGGGGCAAAGGCAGGCTGCACAGAGGGATTGATGAGTATTTTATGGAGCCTCCCACCTAGTAAAACCATTCTTGGAATTATCTTTGGAAATTTTTTAAAAAAATACCCCTTTGTACCTTTTAAAATACTCCCGAAAAGAAGTTTATAGCACAATCTTATATAGATAACTCATTCTCATATTTCCTCCTGTTCTATAAGAGATATTTTAATGAAAGTAATACTTTCTGATCCATTAGGCCATATACATGATTAGGTGTAATGTGTTCAGACATGTTATACCCACTCAACCCAGTGGATGGATGCTAAAAGACAGGCCACTGGGCAGACATGAGGACAGGATCACACCAAATACATCATTTGGGTGGTTCATGGAAGCTGCACTACTCTATTCTCTGTGCGCATCATTAATGGGGGAGGGAAGCTGGAAAAAAAAAGGTAAGCAATAGTTCTTTGCCCTCATTTATCAAACCTGGGAGTCGTAAGTAATGAAACTTATCTTCTATAATCCCCTAGCCAATTATTCAACTTACTTATAGGAAATAAAACTTTTAACTTACCTTCAAGAAGACTGTTGCATATAAATTAAATTATTTTTAAAGTGACACTGATTTATCATTTATTATTTTGTTCCACTTATCAAGGGTGTTAAGATACCTATCTGTATCTAATATATCAATATATCTTTACTCATATAAATATTAATATCTTTGTATTTCCTTCTATTTCAGCATATTTACCCAGTGGGGTCTCCTTTACATTTATATGACCTTTTCAGTAAACTATTTACACAACTCTTTCCCTTTCACTGAAGAATTATAAAATGACAAATACTAGAAATTCTTCTGATTGCCAGAAGGGTAGATATGCCGTTGTACTATTTGTGTGTGAATGTAGTTCCTCCTATACTATTGCAAGATAAGTTTACCTGTACAAGGGACTCCATATTAATGTATATTTAGTGGCATCTTACAAACTTTTGCAGGGTTAATTTTCCTTATACACTATAAAGATATCTAACATTTGTTAATGAAAGTAAAGTCAAATCTTCTAGTGGTTTATACCAATGTATTTGGTACATTCTGCTACCACATAAATTAATTTACACTTCTACTTACTTAGTCTGGACTTCTAAACACTGATTCTCCACTTGGTTATTTTGTTTCATATATTCTGGATTATCTCTTTTCTTCAAAAAGCTAATGATACAATGTGGTAATTTAAAGCCATGTGAATACAGCTGGCTTAGTGGCTGCAATAGGATTCTGTTGATATTTTGCTAGGTCTGGCTTTGAAACACAATCCTCCTAATCTCCACCTTCCAAAAAGCTGCTTATTTGTTTATTTAATTTTATCTCTTTGACAGTGTGGGATTTGGACTGGGGCTTGGGTGCTGTCCTTGAGCTCTTCTGTTGAAGGCTAGCACTACTTTGAGCCACAGTTCCACTTCTGATTTTGAGTGGTTAATTGGAGATAAGAGTCTCTTGGGGACTTTTCCACCCAAGCTGGCTTCAACCTTGATCCTCAGATCTCAGCCTCCTGAGTAGCTAGGATTTGTAGGCATGAGCCACTGGTGCCCAGTGCAGATATACATTTTAATTTTTTTTATCTTTAAGTGACCATAGAAAGGAGTTCCCTTTCAACGAAGCAGTTTGTGAATACATTGCATCTTGATCAATGTCACTCCTTTCATCATTCATACCCACCCCTCTCAACTCTCCCTTATGCTGCAGATATTTTTGCTATTAATCTATAGAAAGAAAGCATAAATAAGTAAATATTGTGCCAAAGTCGTCTTTTTTTGAACTCTGGCTTTTTTATTCTTTTCTAATATTTAATGTTCTTAAAATGACTGGAAGCAACCTAATAATTGTTTTTGATTGGCAATATTCTAAATACTGTAGCATTCTCTAGATCTTTTAAATCTCAGTCATAATGGATATATATGATTTATATGTATATGAGTATTTATATGTGCATATAGAAATATGTTTTCTGTATGTATGTATACATCATGTATATATAAACATTTTTAGTGTATGTTTTGTAGCTCATATGTATTAAAATTAAAAACTAAATAGAATTAAAAAATTTTTTTAGACTCTGTTTTAGACTCATCTCCTGACTTGGAGTGTCTGATACTTTCTTCTGTGGCTTTTCTTTCACTTTAAAATAAACTTATTTCCTTTACCTTAAAACAATTGCATTTTATTTTTACTTATCATAGACAAGTTTACTAGTAGACATAGACTTGATCTACTGTGTTAGACTCTAAGTGACTTAAAGGAAAGAAACATCAAACATTTTCTATATCCTGATTTCATTTAGCTTAAACTTAAATACCCTATGGGTTGAGAGTTTGTCATCATTTTATCCTAAGGTTTTTGCACATGCCTCTTCTTGAGCACTTTATACACATTTCCTCTGTACATATTTGTTAGATAAAGAAATGTGTTATTTCCCTCATTTTAGAACAACACATGTATTACTTTGAATTAAATTTATGAGAAAGGCATAGAATAAGGCACAACAATTTTAATTTATTGATCAATAATGCAATGCTTTCCACTTCTTTCCAAATATAGAGTTTACAGAGTATTGGAGTTTTCCTGAATTATTTTGTTGCTGTGTTTTATAAATACTATACTCTATATAATAAATATTTTCCTGTCACTATCTCACCCATGTATCTTGATCCTACTTCAAAACATATATTCAACAACACTTTGTGTAGTTGTGGCTGGCCACTAACTGTACTTTCATATAGTAAAAACTTATATGTGCTTTGCTGTTCTAAGTATCACATCAAATTTAAATTGGTTTCTTTTCTATCGCTAATTTCAACTTAGATATCTAATGGGTTGAGACATTGGCTAAGCCAATTAATTATTTAAACTCTGAATATAATTTTAAGCTGAACAAATGTGTTATTTTCTTCATCTGAAAATGACATGTATTCCCATGAATTAAAATTATATTTTATTTTGCTTATATTGTCCTGTTATACTCTAAACACACTAATAAGAATGATGTCACAAATATTTGAATTATTAATAAATATGCTAGAAGTTCTTGTTGAATGTACAGAATAAATGCGCAGAATATGTAAGTGTGTTACTTCCTGTAAAAACTTGGGGTTTTTTTTTTAGGTTGATATTTTAATCTCATTCATTTATTCATTTTAGCAATTATTAAACATACATATGTATCTATTCTTTTTCGTCATTGCTGTTTTGCATTTTTTTTCAAGCCATCTTTGCAATTTATTTAACGTTTGTGGCAGTATCTTACATCCGTTTACCATGTATTTATATTTGTTCCTAAGCTATATTCAAAGTATGTTTTATACTCAATAAGTGCTCTGGGTAGCTATTTCATACTTAATTTATTTTTTCTCACAAATATTTAAATTTGTATAATTTTGTTTGCTGTTTTGCCTTTGGTTTCTTTTTCTTTTTTCTTTCTTTTTATATGTTTTTTTAATTGTGAAAATACTGTACAGAAGGGTTCAAGTTACATGAGTAAGATAGTGAGTACATTTCCTATCGAGCATTGTTAACTCCCTTTCCTTCCCACCTCCTCTCTCCCCCACCCAGGTTGTAAAGTTCTTTTTCAACATACTGTCTTATACATCTCATTGTTACAATGGGTCAACCCGTATCCTTATTTCAGCATTTTGTTATTTCCCTTCCCCTCCCCAAATTAGAAAAGTGTATATACAAGATGCAGGGCACCAACTGTATTGTGAAAACAGGGGTTATATTTGGTTTCTTTTTCTAGGTATGTGTGTATACCATTAGCTTTCAGAAGTAATTTCAAGTTATTTACTTCAGTAATCGATTCATTGATTAGCTAGTTCTGTTTGATGAAATTTTTCTCAGCTCACAAAATTGTGTTAATAAAATATAGCATAAATTGGCTTTTTTGTGACTTATATTCATAATATTCAAGGAATCTTTCTGGTCTTCTCAAGGTTCATGTTTGCTTTATCTGTAATTCAAATCTCATCATATCTTTTTTTTTTTTTTTTGGTTGGGTCATGGGGCCTGAATGCTGGGCCTAGACGCTGTCCCTGAGCTCTTTAGCTCAAGACTAGTGCTCTACCATTTGAGCCACAGTACCACTTCCAGTTTTTTCTGCTTATGTGATACTGAGGAATCGAACCCAGGGTCTCATGCGTGCAAGTCAAGTACTCTACCACTGAGCCACCTTCCCAATCCTCATTGTATTTTCTAAAGGTGCATTCTGTATCTCTTCTTGCTTATGGAAGTAATAATCTGCTTGGCAAGAATACCAGAATTTTTCTCATATATGAATAAAATGAATGTTCTCATTTAGGCTCAAAGATATTAATTGTATATGATGTCAAGCTTCCTTAAGAAACAATTTTAAAATTATCTGCTTGAAATTGGTTCAATGGGATTTACTAAAATTCTTTTTACATTACCAAATTGACTTTCACAAACAAAATACTCATTGAATGTTGATATATGTGTAAAGTTTTTATTGCAAAATTACACAGGCATGAAAGTGTAGCTCAGTGGAAGAGCTCTTTTGTAGCCTGCCCTGGGCTCGCATGTGCACTGTTTTTATTTAATGTTAGGCAAAT